GACAGGTAACACCGCGTCCTCCATTCAGTTCCCGGAGCGAGCTCGGAAAATCCCTCGTTATTACGAGAATATGTCGTCTTGTAGTCAGGATTTTAAAATCATGAACGTGCCAAGTTTTCACTTTCTATCTGCATTTAGATTTTAGTTAAATATTGTAATAAAAAAAATTACAAAATATAAAATAATATACAAGTAATTAAAAAGTCCTAAAAGAAAGAATCGTTTGTAAAATGTACTAAGACCGGTCAAGAGATCATGAACCTGAAAGATAACCCGGCGATATGGACGCGGCGTCTAACGCGCGCTCGCCAAACTGGAGAATTATCAGCACCTCTTATCTGCTGTTAATTAATACTGCCCAGCAAATGGATCGGTCGAATTCTATCGGTAACACGGACATTGATCTAACTGCGGTGTTTAATCAAATTCCGGTGGGAATGCCACGAGTTAACCGAGTTTAACCAACGCTTATTGAACACTGCAAGTTCACCGCAAAATTTTGTTATCTATTCCAATGATATTAACAGTTACTTGGTTCTGGTATATTCCTAGCTAAGCAATAGTAGAGTCATTCGTATACGATAAATCTGTAAAAGAATGCATATAGTCTCTGCCTTAAACATTTTGACCCTCACAATAAGGAATGTATAATGTACAACCAAATTTCTCTAAAGATTGTAAAAAATTAAAAACAAAGTGTCGGGTATGTCGCGGTACCTGCCTCCGCGCAGGTAGAGCCGGCCACAATGGCATTCCAGCATCCGAAATGAATCAAAATTCGACCGACGACCGCCGATGACTAACGCACCCCGCGGCCTGCTCCTCGGGGCCGGACCCAACTGATAAATTACAATAATAATACCCATCTCTATTGTTATTATTAGGGATGTTTTCATTAGTGCGTGGCGTTCGGCGCTGCGCAGGTGAACGCAGCTGAGCGGAGCGGCGCTGTCTACCCTACGATTGGTCAGTCCCGCGCCTCGACTTTACGAAGCCGTTTGATACACATTATCGAAATGAGCGTAATAAATTGTTCAAATGTTTCTCTCCGTCGATTATAGATAAAACCACTTTTTCATCGGCGCTCGGAGTCGCCTCGCTCGCCCTAAATGCCGTTTATGGATAGTCCGAGCGTGTTTATTGGAGTGCGCCAACTAGTCCTCCCCACTTAACGACTGGTTCCATTATTTGTCCGCGGAGCGGCGACCTCCCGCGCCGACAGGAACAATGAAAGTGAGAGAGGGCAGGAATGCGTACAGGGGTAGAGGGGCAGCAGGGGCGGGAGGTACGGTTCCCGGTTCCCAGGCGAGGAATGCCAGCGCGAGCAACAAAGCCTGCCCGCCGCCATTCACCCCGCATCACCCCGCGTCACCCCGCCGTGCCGCACCGCCCGCCGCTCTAGCGGTTCTTTACTCAGTAATTTTTCGTGACTTTCCCCGAAAGTAACGATTACGATTGCGTGAATTGAAAAACGATATTCGATATTCAATTCATTGGACATTTGCATGATTTATTAGGTTTTGTAGAATCTTATAAAACTCTTTGTTATGTCTACTTCAATAAAAACGGTATGATAGTGAGGTTGATACGAGTTAGAACTCGAGCCCGGTACAATATGCAATAACGATGTGTTTCCTTCCATTCATTCAGCACGAGCACGACTCAAGGTCCAGGTCGAATGTCGCGTAGTAACTACCATTACAACGACAGCGCACCGCTTTTCGTGCATTATGTATTTGGAACATTGAAAACGATGAAAATTGTTTTTGAGTCATTGTGACAGACCTGACTTTTCCGTGCTTACGTTAGCATGTTTAAATAAATAACTAACAATACGTTATAAAATATCTAACATTTTAAAAATAGGTACCACAAGTTCCTTTCCATTTATTTTAACATAACATCATTAAAGTTAAATTCAAAGTTTAAAAAAATAGAAAAGTAAGGGTGTACTACATTATCTATGATATGGGTCATTAAAACGTATAAATATGCGATATACGAGCTCTACTTAAAATTCTAAAGTAGCTTATAACTTATTACAAACTGCTCAACGGAGCGAAGAAAGTTCGAGATAGCTCCCTAATTAAAATTTAAGGGTAACTGGCACTTATCTCATAATTAGGCAATATTCTCATGATAAATGTTCTCCTTTCAATGTGTCTAATAATTCTAAAATAATATCTGACTAACTCTACGCTTTTAGAACAAGCCCTTTCCTATTGAAACATATGCAATAAAGTCAGAAAAAAGATAGCATTTACTATAGAATAACAATACAAATTCAGTATATCCTAAATATGTACTGAATAATGACGTATGTTGCAATAAATTATCACACGGATTTATTAAATGAACTGGCATACTTGTTGCTAAAGACATAAAAGTTACAATAATAAAATATTAACAAGTTCAACGACCTATCTAAATGAGCGCACAGCAAAAACAATACAATAGAAACGTAATCAGTAACACGACCCCAAAGACGTCATGCGGTAATTTCCAAACTAGAAAACTTATTTTACTTAACTAATACTCATGTTTATTTGATTGTTATAGTTTACTATAAAAAGAAGTATAGAAATGAGTTTAATTCAGGATCTGTTACCAAAAGTACTTTATAGTACCACTAGCTTTCGTCCGCAACTGCTTTCGTGTGGAATTAAAAAAACAAATAGCCTATGTGTTCTTCCAGACTATAATCAACATACCAAATTTCATCGAAACTCATTCAGCCGTTTAGGCAACAAACTCTAACAAACATCCATCCATCTAAACTTTCGCATTTATTATTAGTATGATTGTGAAGAGATAAAGACTGTTCCAACGCGCGATAAAGGCGATGCTATGCAAAATTAAATATTTCTCAAACTTAACCATCAATATCTTCAAAATAAGATATACTCTATCAATCAAGAATCGAATATCAACAACTCAAAGATCTTTATTTAGCCTAACTGAATAATTGTATTATTAATTGTGTGTACAATGTAATTAGATTACAAAGTGGTAGTGTAAGTGCACAGAGCACGTGCAGCAGACCAGCTGACAGGGCGACCGGCGCGTGCGTCGACATCCGATACCGCGCTGTGCTCGGCACACCACTAGACATACGACACCGGTAAAGGCTTCACCACATTAGGGTACAAACACACTAAAATAACAAAATAGCCTATATGTAGTCGATAGATTAAAACCAATGGAAAAAGTTGACAATCAAATCTATGCTCACTATACAAAACATAATCATAGATGTGTAGTACAACTAACCATTCGTACTTAAAGGTATGACATCTATTACGTTACATCAATAGTAATAGACTCCTGAACTAAAATACCATCGCATACAAAGTATAATACTTTAAGTGTGGCTGTACAATTGACAAAACTTAAAACAGTTTACTCGAAACCGGTACATTATAATTTTACAATCTCAAAAGCTTTCCATGTCCTTTTTAATGTTTATACAGGCCGGAGAAAATAACAAATATTAACTTTGTGTACGTGACATTATATCACACATTTAAGTCAGTGGAATGTGATAAGTCCCGGCGAGAGCAACAACAATGTGTATCGTATAAATAAAGGTCTCTGATAAGCCCTAGACGCTCGTAAACATTGCCCCTATATAAATACCAGAATGTTTGTGCCCAAGTTTTATGGAAGACAAATTAAATTCATGCTCTTGATAAACTGCTGTTTCAATCCAATCCAGAAAGTTATAGTACGGAAACCTTCAAAATCCATTTAATAAAGGACACAATATTTCCTAATTTTTATATGAATGAAGCTTAATGTTTAAAGCAGTTGCTTCTCAACATATTAAAATGATTGTCAGTTAATTATTTAATTAAAAGATAACAATTAATTTGAAGGAAATAATGTTTGTTTTGAAACAATTATGCTGATAACCTTTTATTAACGTTCTGCCAACAAACTCAAATCAAGTTATTTTGTTTATTTCACTGAGATAAGATTAGTCCAGGAAAAAGTTTTCTGGAAAAGTTTTGTTACAGACTTCTCTCAAGGAATATTTCTATCATAAACCAAACTCTAAAGACATTGTAAGCACCTGGTCCATCATTATCATCAGCTGAGAGGTTGTGCCTCGCAAAGTACTCCTGTGGGCGCAGGCAGGACGCGGCGGCGGCGTCCCCGGAGCCCGCGCACACCAGCAGCCCTACCAACACTAACGCACACTTCATCTTCACTACGTCACACAGATAGACAAATAAAAATGTGTTTTTTTTTATTTTTTAAATTTCGAACTTTTTTGTTGTCTTGAACACTCGCGAGCGCGCGTTCGTGTTACCGACCAGTGAGAGACGCGCGTGCACCCTCATCGGTGCGCCTGCCCGAACTGACGGCCGCGAAGCAGGCGACGGTCCAACAGCGGGAAACGACTACAGTCCGACGTTTTAAATTAGTGACTGAAATAAATTAATAGAAGCCGACGAATTCTTTGAAGTGGTCATGTTGATTTGCCGAATTGATTGATTTCGCGGCAACTATCCACGACTATGCAATTCACAATCCTTGAAACGTATCAATTATTTAAATCGCACGTAGTTGCATTGCAAATTATTCACAAATATCAATAAAATACGTCATACCCAAAAAGTTTAAAAAATCAACAGAAATACATTTGTCTCCTATAAAAATCCATTTAATATCATTTTTATATTTTTTATGACATATTACCCTTAAAGTTATTAGATAACATAGAGAAACATGTTGCTTTACGATTAAACTAGGCAACATCAGTAGCAGAATGTAATGTGTCTGTTAGTGGCAGCCCTATGAAGCGGTGAGCGTGTATGCGACAGTCGTGCGCGCGCAGTGTATCGAGCGCGCGGCTCAGCCGACTCCAGCCGGCACGACACTTCACCACCAGGCCTATAGGGCTTAGACATTCGACAATTTTACACTTTAATAATTGTAATATATTTTAACGTTAATAATAATTCTTTCAACTTCTAAGTAATTGAAATTAAACGGTAACTAGTTTTGATCTTATGTTTAAGATTTTATTTTAGTAATTTATTGACGGTTTATATTCCGATACTTAGATATAAAATTACATTTAGATTTTGATAACTGAATTTATTTGAATTGTTTTGAAAACATTTTCAATACCAAGTTTAAGTCATGTATCACTATTAGTATGATGGTATACCAAGCTATAATTTTTAGACGAACCCATAAAGATCGCACTTCTAAGTAAAACAAAATAGGACACGAGTTGCATAGAAACGACATGTACGGGAATATTAGACAATAGCGTTGAAGGTCGAGGTGGCCCATTGCTATGATGAATGCTGTTCGTATGGCATATTTTTAATTTATCACCGGTCAGATTATCCAGGTAGGTGTTTCATTGAGGCTGTTTAGGCCTGCCGCTCACTGTAACCGCTCAGACCGCTCACATCGCACCTCGTCCCAAGCGATAAGCTTACCCACTTCGCACGTAAACGACACTTACGTCAAGTAGAGGGTAACTTGAAAGAATCAGGTAAAAAACATCTGCATTGTTCTTTTTCTTAATACATTCCAAACAGTTTAAATTCGAATGTTAATAGCACTTATACATTTTTTTCTTTTTAAAAATTATAATGCTAAATCTACGTTTAGTTAAGAGTAAATGATTTATAGAAATATTTATTTTAAGAGTTTTGTTTCTTAATTTTTCTACATATTTAAATATTTTTAACACAACTATAAAAGGTGGGAAAAATTTCAGACATGCAATATCCGTCAATCAGTCAATATCGAAAAGCCATATCGGATATAGTCACAGACCAAAAAACAATAACTGTGCTATATATAAGTGAAATATGATACTTTTAGTTTAATTTTACGCAATAATAAATATAAAGTTCTACATTTGAAATCACTTTTGCTTTGTTTATTTCAAGAGAAGGAGAAAGTGGTTAAAACAAAAGGATTCATTGAAAAAGACTAACAACTCTCACTAACATTATATAGCGTCTTATCGTTAAGTTACTCGTAATTTTACGCTTATTAAAATAAAAGTTTTCATAATAAATATTAAAATGTTCCGCTCTCCTCTTATCCCTTAAGCCTCACTTTATTTATATGGGCCCAAAATTCACTACAGCCTATGAATACGGGCAATAAAAGGGACGTCTCATTTATTATTGACAAATATTTCGCGTCCAAGAAGTTCTGAAGGATGCTAACGGAAGGCGCCAGGTCTCATTTTATTTCATTTATTATGTACAATGAAAGAGCCACTTTGTCGGTAAATCTTTTTCAAACTATCCGACATTACTAAGATTTAAATTATTAGCTGACTATTGTCACAACTATTATTTGTATTGTAATAATTATTGTATGGGAAATGTAAAAAATCAAAATTAACTAACTAACTAGTTTATGCTTATTTTACAAGACAAGGGTTTTACAATTATCTAAATTCAACAATATTTAAAATTTAAAATAAGTGCTTTGAGTTTTAAATATTCACATGTTTTTAAATTGAATCAGCCATCACAAAACAAATGATGTAGATATTTTAAAGCAATTTTACAATAAAATAGCATAAAAATGTTAAGTTAAACAATTTATTCAAGCTAAAAAATGAAGCACAGGAAGTCATTTACATCGCTCAAGTGACAGAAACCTCCGCGACAAAGACGTGCGCGCGTTTATGTCTATTGTATGTAAGTGCGTTTGCGCATCCAGTCGCTAAATTATATACCAAATTGAATATAGACGACTTTATTACACACTATATAGAAAATAAATAAGCTTACAAATGCTTACATGTGATATAAATTGTTATTTAATCGTGTTTTACTATTTCTAAATTATTATGTTTTTTCCTTATTAATAATATCTATTTGCCACAAAAATCAGCTGAAACTAAATCTATTACTTAAGTAGCCGTTCCTGTGTGAAAAACGAGATAACACTTGCCATCGACACGCCATCCGGCAATTAAAGCCTTCCAAACTAACCTTTATTACCTCATAGTAAAATTCGGAGGCTGGACCCGAGCCCGGCCGACAGATATCCAAGCCGTGTCGCGACTTGTCGACACAACTCGGAACGATTAGCGCTGCCCGGCCAGCGGCTCACGCACAAAAAACACCAACAAAAACAAGCGTGCACAATGCCATGAGATACCGTGAAAAATCCCCACAAATAAAACAACCTTTGAATCACCCGCCGCGTTTTGATGTTTTATTCGCTTTTATCGCATAAAAATGTACACATTATCCATTCAAAACGCGACGTCATCATTTACCTACGCGGTGGGACCGGGTGAGCTCGTACAATTGCCTGTATAATGTTAATGGGACCCTTCAGATTCTACCTGCCGGCAATACGCCACCCTGTACCGGACCACGCTCACGTCCACAAATAACTACTTTTAATTTATTGTTTTAAATTCAGCAACTCACCCCGCAGCGTGCCTCCGCAATGCATCTGAACGCGGATTCCTAAATAGAAATTTCCTGAATTCAACGAGCGCCTAGAAAGAATCGCGCCGACCGTTTAGAAATAAACACTCGTTTTATTATACGACCGAGATCCCAGTCATTAATAACGCAAAGAAAGAAATTCTCTAACAAAAGGGAATAATGAAAAGAAAATCCGCCCGCCGTTATTTACGCCTTGTTATTGGCGAGAAAAATATTTTCATTGGTAACAATTTCTTTACTGATTTTAATAAGTTGTTGCAGTGGATACTATTATTTTGTCATAAATGTGTTAGCCAAAGTTAGCATCATTTTGCATAAAACTATACATGTAATTATCTGTAAACAGTTATAACGCTATCGTTCCCAGATCTTAAATCATGATCCCGGAACAGAAACCACATTTTTATCTATTATCTCGCTTTCCTGGTCGTGTGGAATTTTCTAGAGCAAACAAGGCAATGCACACACGACACTGGAGGCGGCGACGCTCCCACCCTGTCACAGCCGTCATCGATCTCCAGATACCAACATATACGAGTAATTTATAACGTCGCCGCCGCTGATGCGACCGATAAAAACTAGATCACTCGATCATTAGGCGCGTTACGATTCCGAATAAATAAATACGTTGGGATCGGTGTGAGACTGTGACAAACGTCGCTAATATATCTTCCCAATGGTCGTTTATTATCACACTTTTTTTTTAACATAGACTGTAGTTTAGTAGATTTTTACATCACGTTTAATAGCAAATATATTGGGCTGTTTAATATTCAGTATTAATTTCTTAATTATATCGTTATTACTCTCATCTTTCATGAAGTTATATATGTAGGCACATTTACATTTAGGAAACAGGAAGCATTCGGAGTTCGCAAGACCTTAGGGATAGAAAAGGATATCCAGTTTGTACTTTTGTACATCTATTTATATGATACGGCAGACAAATACATGCAAAGGAGAGCTTTTAACCTGCGACACGCAAAGCTTGCCAATTTGTTTAGTAAGAGCGTATGTTGCGTGTGAACAAGCGCCATAAATGTATTGTAGTGTTTCACGATGACAGGTCAAACGCCCCTTCGCTTATAAACAATTTAAAATAACGCCATCATTGTCCTCTCTACACAGGTCCTTTATAATTTTAAAATAGAGTTTACTATCAAATATTTTTTTAAAATGTTTGTGGTATAATCTATAATAATATTTATATGCTCATTCAAATGCTTTGGACCTTATTTGGTCTGTAAATTGTACAATAAGGTACAAAAATTTTAAAATTAAGCTATAAATTTAATTATAAATATGATATAAAAATGTGTGCGTTGTATTATCCTTTAATGATGGCGGCCCACCCCGATCTGATAGCGCTATCTCTGCTCTAATCCAGCGCCGGTGTGACTAACGCGTCAGGAATGCGCAGGCGCCGGCGCGGACTACGCTCCTCCAACAAACCTGCCCGAGCCTGCTAACACCAACTATAAACGACTCATCTCAACACACAATACAAAATTGGCTTTATTTTCTTCACTAGTAAGGTTCAATTTAAAAAAAAACATGTAATGTTACATCTCTCTTAAAACACACCATGTTAGCGCCGGTGACATGCTTGTTCAATTCACGGTACAGTTTTCACAAAGGCTGTAACGAAATGATGCTGTAAATATTCTTATTTTGTTTTCAAAATTCGATGTAAGATCTAAATACCTAGCAGATAAAGAATTTAAATTAAAATAATGTTAAACGAAACGTCACAAACACCAGAAATTATTCTCGTAAATCCAAACGCGTCAGTATTACGAATGAAATAGCCACATTTATTGCGAAACGTCGGCCATTTTCACCGTTCTTCAGCGCGCAGTTCACGCCATAAGCGTTTCCGGAAGCAGCGGAGCGACCGAAGGCGTTCCACATTTTACTACAAAGAACATCCGTCGACCGACAAACTGCAGACGTAACAAAAGCGCATTATACACGCACGCCTGCAAATATAAGGAGCTCTATACACGGACAGCTTCATGCGATAAACAGCGGCTTAAAGCAGTCGGCTTCTTAAAAGCAACATTTTTTTACCAGCGACAGTGCTGATCCGTGTACAGCGCTATAATCGCCACCATTGAAAAACTTTTTCAATGACATTATTAATATGTAAACTGTAAGCTACATAACATTTTCCTTCAAACTTATGTAACCAGAATAAATAAGTATAATAATAATTAACTTCTTGAAAGTTGGAAAAAACATTCAAGGTCAAATAACTTTTCAAATTCGAAAAACAAATATCGCAAAACACTACGACTTCGCTAAAATACTTGACATTAAATAAGTGGGCACTAAAAACGATAGCGCTGAGCTTTTCTTAAAAAGATCAAAAAGCTTGAAGATGAAGTGGCAGCCTCAGAATCATAGAGTATCATAGAGAATGAAATATCTCTTCGTTTAACTAGTTACTGGAAAAATATATAAGACACGTTGGATTATTTCATCTATTTATTAAAAACTTGTTTATACCTGTGAATTCGTTTGCGTGGTATAAAAAAAACTTAGTAAGAAACCTATGAGTTCTTTCAGAAAATTTTTACATCTGTGCCAAATTTTATCGAGATCTGTTAAGCCGTTTTGGAGAACATCCATGTAAACTTTCACATTCATAATATTAAATGATTGTAGAGCATTGACGCACCTGTCCTATATTTTTTGCACAAAACTGCAACATCAATAGAACAGAAGGCCAAGGTCGGAACTCTTTGCTACGAGCACCGCTTCTACAATGTGATGCGACAAAAGACTTTTGATCGCGACGGAGTGATTCAAAAAGCGCAGTCACGATAGCTCATGCGCCTATACTTTAAACGCTGAGAAATCTATCTGAAAAAGTATAACTGTTACTAAGTTTTAGACGTCTAATACAACTTTTGAACTAGAAAACTTCATAACGAATGCACACAAAAAACATTTTTCTCGCCACTGACCCAATCCGTTGAGGGAGAGCCATAAATAAGAATAAAAAAAACATTTTAAATCTAACATAACATTTTGTTGTATCTTTAATCATATTGATTCTAACATAAATCGTTGTTAAATCAGATACATACATTTGAGTTGACGCAAGTGAATATTCGCGTACACATTTAAATTGAATCGACACACTAATAGCGCAGCAATAAAGCAAACAATAGCGTTACATTACGTTAATCAAACTACATGCCCAGTCGCGTGGAATGCGCGGACGTTTATTGATAAGGTTACGTCCATAAAATAATGCCGTGTACCCTGAAATAGGTCATTGGTTTGCAGATTTAATATTCAAACTATACTTTTAAAACAAGAAATACAAAGTTGTGTGAAATGTAGCCCAATATTGAATCCAATTACAACCTTGGCTACTCTCCCTTAAAAATAATTTACTTAAATTATATCAATTGCGACATTTAAGCCGCTTAATGAATCTACGCTTGCGGAATAAAATGTGATAGATATAGAAACTCAGCAAACTAATTAAAATCTCCAAGCATGATTCAGCAATGCTAAAATAACATACCTAGAGCATAGAATATTCCATAGTGTGAGTGGACACGTGTAGTGGCATGAAAGACTTTCTTAAAAAGACGAATAAGTTTCGAGGTGAGGGATCACTTTGGGAAACTAAAAAGTAAAAACGAACACTTTTAGTTACGTAAGCCTAAAATGTGAAGATATATTACCAAAATTAAGTGTTTTAAAAATAGGATTTTGCGTTTATTTAAGCTAACAATGGATAATAGACGGCGAATGAAGTTGCTAGTGAAAAGGCTTTGAGAATGCTATCTCAAATCTCTCCGTAGCGGACTTGCGTTTATCGTTATTACTTTTATAACCTCTTACAAAAGCCGAGTAAATTTCCTGCGCTTAGCCAACGACGTTTACAATGAAAATGCTATTAACTTTATATCGATGTTGACCTGGCGTGCTTACAAACAAATAAATTCTATCAAAATTGTTATTTTTAATTTCAGTTAAATTGACTACACCTACCACTGAGCTCATTAGATTCCAAATGTGGTGGTCCGTTACGTTTATTTAGAACTAGCTTTCGGCCGCGACTCCGTCCATCTAAACTTTCGCATTTGTAATATTAGTATGAGTATGATATGGTTAATATGATTTTCGTAAACTCTAGGTTCAACATCTAAGATATTTTAGTTTTGTTGTTCGTGAATGCATTTTTAAAAACTGCTTGATTATTTAAAAAATAGCAATCTTAAAATGTTTTTACAGTAATCAGAGTTAGTACTAAAGAATTCGTCAAAGTCATCAATTTAGCCGCATATTTTATATTCTGTAACTCAACGTTTATGCCGGTTGCAGAATGAATGTAATTTCTTTTCCCACCTCGTCTAATGATTAATGAGGGTTGAAAAACTTTTCCTTCGCGGAGTAACAGCTTTGTGCTTGCAAGGAACGATATTTTTTATAAAAGGAAATTGCTTTTTCATAGTAATTTTTATGGTAAGGAAAACAAAAATTTATCAACAAATCATTTTGGAGTCAAAATACTGTGGCGAATATATTTTTTCGACTTTACGTAACAAATTAAATTATCACATTAGAGTATATAATTTTGCCAATAAAACATATGGAAGTGTTTTTAGTATGAAAGTTATTACATAAGAAAAACTAGATTATTAGAAAATCAGGTCACAAGCCCGACTCTAGGGAGCACAAAATGGATTACTCTCGTATACTTAAAGAAAAAATGTCCGGCCTCCGAAG